TATTTGCAACACTTTTGAGGAAAGAAAACATTCTTATATATATAGATCATTGTTTTACATTTTATTATTTTATTTTATTCACCAGGCACTTTTAAAGCAAAAAGAGGGGAGGAACCTCTTTATTAGAGTCAAAATATTTAGGAAAATTAAATTTCGAGTTACAAAAGGAATTTTTAGTAAATGGTGGCAAATTACCGTTTACTAAAAAATTAATGAAATAAAGAGGCCAAACAAATAACATAGAAATGGTCGGTGTTGAACAGACTTAATAAGACCCGGGTCGGGTCAGCTTGGTTTACAATTTTTTATGTCTACTTATCTCTTATAATTTTTATTTTAGATTTGTCGTATGATGCATTAATGCATTAAAAAATTTGTTATACCCATGTTTGATCGTAAATTAAATTTTTTCGTTTGAAAGGTATTTGTACTCAGTTGCGTAATTATTTAAAATAAACTTTGTTATTTTTAATAAATTTATTTAAATGTGTGCATTTAACATTTTTAAGTTAATAATTATCTTTTCTAAAGAACAATTAATCAAGGGGATACCAAAAAATTGATAACTCCTGTATAATATAAGTTAACTTCATTTTATTCTTAATGGTTCGTAATATAAAAATTATTACAAGGATTTAGTTGGTACTTTCGTCAATTTAAAGCATGACCAAGTGTTATTATTTTGTGTCAGTAACTAAAAACATATTGTGTTAAACTTAGGAAGGTCGATGAAAATGGTTCTGCCTTACACTGTTATGACCTATGCCATTTGTAAATTACTTAAATAATGTTAAGTAGTAATAGTAAATGTTAAGTAGTAGTTGGTAAATTATTTTACCTCCTCATACATTTTATGTTAATTTTACAGATGGATTAATTTTTTCAAGCTGAAGGCGATTTTCTAAAAGGGTATTTGTTAAGGTTTTGCAACATTAAATTGTGGAAAACAGCCACTATAAATTAATTATGTAACAGACCGACCAAAACCCGTATTACTGGTTGCTTTTTGCTAGTTATGTATTAATAATCTAAAGTAATTAATTAATTAACTATTAACTATCGATTTCTAATATAAGGAAGTTTTATTAGAAAAAATTAAATTCATTTTCAGTTAACAAAAGTAATTGCTTTAGTTTTGTTTTGAATTGGTTTAGAGAATAATTAGTTTTCATTTCATTATTTAATACTATGTTCCACAACTTTGGTCCTCGGATAGAGAATTTAGTAGCGAATTTAGTAGCGGAATAATTAGTTTTGGATTGAATGTAGTTGTATTTTGAAAATCTTGTAGGGTATATGTGATTCATTTTTTCAAAAATTGAATAAAATAAGATTGGTAATATATTTTTATCAAGTTTGAACATGAAAATAAGAACTTGATAGAGGTTTAGTTTATATACATTTAGGATATTGAGTTCATTAAAAAGTGTTTGTGTGTGTGAAAAACGATCTACGTTTGAAATTATCCTTATTGCCTGTTTTTGTTTGCTAAGCAATTTTTTTATTTTCGTCGCGTTAGTGCTACACCAAGCAATGTTCGCATAACTTAAGTAGCAATGAATAAAAGAAAAGTAAATGTTTTTTAAACAAGATCGATGTAATAACTGCTTTGCTTTGTACATTATACCTAAATTTTTTGATATTTTATCTTTAACTACACCTATGTGTTCCCTCCAGGTTACATTTTTGTCTAGAAACACGCCTAAAAACTTTATTGATTGCTCTCTCTCTTTATTAATTGATTGTCAATAAAAAGGTCTGGGAGTTCTAAGGGAATATCTGATTTTTTATGTAGGCGATGGAATAAAGTGTATTTTGTTTTAGTAATATTTAAAGATAACTTGTTTAATTTAAACCATTGGGTTAGTTTGTCTAGTTCTTTGTTTAATGTTTGGAATAATATATTGATATCTTTATTGGAAGACTTGCATTGTTCCCAAACCTGACAAGCGTATCTAAGATGAGATCCAAAAATTGCATGGTATATATTAAGTAGGGTTTCATAATTGACATTGTGGCGAATTTTGGCTAGCATCCCATTTGATTTAAACAATTTTACTGCTAAGTTTTTAAGATGAGAGGAAAAAGATAGATCTGAGTCAACTTGGATTCCAAGATATTTTAATGAAATTACGGGAAAGATTTTTTGTCCACTTAGTCTAAAGTTTAGGTTTTTATACATTTTAGATTGATTTGATTTGAAAATAATAAGTTCAGTTTTGTTGGTATTAAGACTTAGTTTGTCAGAGCGCAGTATTAACACAGTAATAACACAATAATAACAATAACAATATATATTTCGTGTTACAGATGTTACAAAAACACAGGTCATTGCAAATAGTGATTTACTAATAAAGCGCAATGACCTTAATAAGTTGAATAATAATAACAATAATAATAACGTGTAATAAGTAAAATCACATAAAAAAGTAGGTTGTAAAAGAAAGTTTAAATAAGTAAATTTTCATTTAAATGATGAAGTGACTTTAAGAACAGATTCTTAAACCTAAGGATGAGACCTGATTTTAGGGTGTTCGAAGAAAGTTCCAAGAAAGGATACACTGGTATGTAATGCATTTTTACTTGTCTGTTTTGGTGGAAGAGTTAAATTGTTATAAGTGACTAATCTTATGTTATGCATACATGTTGTTCTATTATTAAAGTAGTTGTGAAATATAGTAGGAAGGACACCATGTTGTTGATCCCAGACAAATGAACACCATGTTGTTGATCCCATTCAAATGAATTTAAGAACTGAATTAAGTCATAGAAACGAAGAATTTTGGATGTAAATTATAGGATGTCAGTAGGAAAACTTTTTGGACAAAAATTAATAATCAATACCGTTCTATTTGAAGTGAAACTACTCTAGAAAGACATACGGTTTTAGATTGTCCCCAAACTTGACATGCGTATCGTATATGTGAACCGAAAATTGAGTGATATATAGAGAGAAATGTTTCAAAGTTAACGTAATGTCAAACTTTTGCTAACATTAACCTTACTCTGAAATTAAGCCGTTGGAACGGCTTAATTTCAGAGTAAGGTTAGATATGTGTGTTTTGAATGAAAGTTTTTCATCTAACACAACACCAAGATAAGTTATGTTACTAGACAAGTACATTTTTGACCACTTAATAGAAAGTTCAAGTATTTTAGAATATTTTTTGTAGTTTTTTAGAAAAGTTAGTATTTCGAGTCTTAAATATAATTATTTCTGATTTTTTAGTATTCAATGAGATTTTATTTGCTCTAAGCATTGAACAAGACTGGCCATATCCTGATTAATATATTTATTAAGCTTTTTGAGAGAGTTTGTTATTAATTATAGATTAGTATCATCAGCAAAATGTTTTTGAATGTTTGATAGAAAGATTGAGATCATTAATATAGATAATAAAGAGAAGAGGACCTAATATGGATTGCTGAGGTATACGAATTGAAACATTTTTAATATCTGAGCTGGTTCCATTTATAGTTACAAACTGTTGACGATCAGAAAGGTATTATCATGAGCAACTCTTATAATTTCTGTAATTTCAATAAGAGCGTGAGCTGTCGAATAATTTTTCCGAAAACCAAACTGGTGTTTATATAAACATTGATTTTGGTTTAGAAAGTTGTGTAGTTTATTATGCATAATTTTTTAAAATACTTTGCTTACATTAGAAAAAAGAGATATTGGACGATAGTTAGTGCAGTCAATTGTAGATCTTTTTTTGTGAATCGGAATAATTTGAGCTAGCTTAAAGGCATCGGGAAATGTTCCTTTGCAAAATGAATTGTTTAAAATGATACTAATTGGTTTACATAGAGTTCATGATACCAGTTTAAAAAGTTTTGTTGGAAGACTATTTGGTCCAACACTCCTCCTTTCTATAATAGTGGAATTTATATAATCAAGAGTTTCCTCTTTCGTTATTGGTTGCATATAAAAAGAGTTGCTGTAGGATTGGTTAGGTATTTATGATAGTATTTCGTTGAATTTAGAATTCGGAATTTCGTAGGATAATTTTAAAGTGATCGTGGTAAAGAAGTTATTAAAATGGTTTGACATTTTTAGGATTGGTTTTGCATTTGTTGTTAATGCTTGTTAGGGAATTACTATTATTTTGTTTAACATTTATCAACTCCTTTATACCTTTCCAGGTGTTTTTTATGCCATTGATGCTGTGGCTAAAAAAGTTTGTGTAATAGTTCTTTTTGCTAAATTTTAGAAGATTGCTTATACTATTGCGAAAGTGTTTAAATTTTTTAAAATACTTTTAATATATTTTTTATTCTACAGTTTTTTGATTTTTAAATATTTTTTATGAAGTTTATTTCTAATTTTTTATTGACTTGAGAATGCCTTTCGTTACCCAAGGTTGATTACGTTTAACTACTTGATTTTTTGTTAACTTTTTAGAAGGAGCATGTTTGGTTGTAGAGTTGCAAAAAAAACGCGTTTTTTTCTTTTGGTGTTTATTTGGGTCAAAAAAACGTGTTTTTTTGTTTTTTTTTGGAGTTTTTTTGGTGTTTTTTTGTTTTTTTTGGTGTTGTACTGCTTTTTTTAACAATTTATCAGTTTTTTTTTGACGTAAATTTTGGAATAGTTTTCCTTTACTCTAGTATAAATTTAGTATTTGGCCATTAAAAGCACAATTAGATATTAACACCAATTTAACAAATTTTTTATAAAAAATTTAAATTAACTTTAAGTTAGTTATATATCTAGGCATACTGTATGAAAATGTTTATTTTTTGTTTTGTTGTACTAACAACTGTGATACTCTCATTATATATAAAAACTATTCTTATTCTATAAAAAAAGTTACCATTTTAATTTTGATAATGTAAATATATTAATGTATAATACCATGCAAATTTAATATCAGACTTTGAATGCTCAAAAAAATAAGCAATCTATCAAGATTATTTACTTAATTTAGCATTTGTATATTATGTATATCAATTCACGTTTCACCGCGAACGGATGTGTTTTTAATTACAAATTAAAAATGGCGAAAAATTTTTCGGCTTCACAATTAAAAAAAATATTAGACATTCATGAGAACACAATGATGAAAATATTTAATGAAAAATTTGAAAGATTGGAAAAACAGATTGATAAGTTGAATGAAGACAATAAAATTCTTAAAACTGAAGTAAGCGAATTGAAAAAAGCTGTCGAATTTATTAGCGAAAAATACGACAAAATAATAATTGAACAAGAAGGATTGAAGGCTGATTGCGCAAAACCAGATAGAAACCTAGAAAAGAGTTTAACCATTAATTTGAGAGACAAATTGGCTGAGATTGAAGACCGAAGTAGGAGAAACAATTTAAGGATATCCGGTATAGAAGAATCAGTTGATGAAAGTTGGGACGATTGTGAAAGTAAAGTTCGTGAATTAATAAAAAAAAAACTTGATCTTCAAGGTGAATTCATTATTGAACGAGCTCATAGAGTTGGAAAAAATGATAAAGATAATACAATTAAAAAATGCAGAACTATCGTGGTCAAATTTTTAAATTTTAAGGACAAATCAACAGTGCTTGGTAAATATATAAAGACGAAACTTTGGAATCAAAGAATATATGTGAACAAAGATTTCAGCGAAAGGACAACCGAATTGCGAAAGAAATTGTTTACGGCTGCAAAAGATTTACGAATAAAAGGTAAATATGCAAAGGTTGTATATAATAAGTTAATAACGCGCGATAAAGGAAATTCTTTTGTTTTATGGTTTTCTAAAATGGTAAAATGGATTCCAATAATTTAAACGACTTTGAATTAAGTTATAGTTTTTTCCGAACTGATGAGTTTTTATTTAATAACCAATCAGATCCGGACTTAAATTACTTTTGTGAAGCACGTGCTTTACAAAGCAACTGCTCCTATTACTATGCCGATGAAATAAAAGAGTTTCTTAACTGTAGATATTTTAACACTTTTCATATTAATATAAGAAGCATATCAAAGAATTTTGAAAGTTTCTATTTAAGCATGAAAGAATCTCTTAATATTTTTAGTTTAATTTGCATGTCTGAAACCTGGTGTAACTCTAATAACTCTAATTTGAATTCAAGTATTTTTTTACCAGGTTTCAATATAATTTCTTTGGATAGAAAAAATGGAAAGCGAGGCGGAGGTTTAATAGTTTATATTAGAGAATATTTGCAGTATATTATCAGGCCTGACATGAGCAATTCTGATGACAATAATGAGGTCTTAACAGTTGAAATCCAAACAAAAAAAAAAAAAAAAAAAAATTTAATTATAAGTTTTTGTTATCGCCCACCTTCGGGCAGTATAGAAAATTTTAATTTATTTTTAAATGACATTTTAAAAAAAAGCATTTGTGAAAATAAATTATACTACTTAATAGGTGACATTAATTTAGATTGTTACCAATACCACACTAATTATGGCGTTAAAAAATTTTACAACGAGTTATTTGAACTCGGTGCTTTTCCCATAATTAACAAACCAACAAGAATAACTCCTACATCAAAAACCTTAATTGACAATATTATAACAACTGATGTTTTCAATAAATTTCTAAAAAAAGGCATCATTAAAAGTGACGTCTCGGACCACTTCCCTATTTTTTTCTCTATTAATATCGACGCAGATATAAAATATTCCAACAAAAACAAACTTTTAAAAAACGTTTTTTTTCTAATGATAATTTAAAAACATTTAAAGAACAATTATCTTATCTTCATTGGAAACAAATAGATACCTGTGCTGACGCTAATTTAGTTTATAATACGTTTTTTAAAACGTTTTATGAAATATACGACGCTAATTTTCCAAAACAAATAGTAAATAAAAAAGCTAAAAGTTTAATGTCACCTTGGATCACAAAAGAACTAAAAAAATCCTCTAAAATTAAACAAAAATTATACGTAAAATATTTAAAGACAAAAACTGAACAAAATAAAGTTCTCTATAAAAAATACGCTAAAGAATTTGAAAGACAGAAAAAAAAAGAAAAAAAAAAATACTATTCTAATTTGCTTGATAGAAATAATCTTAATTCTAAACGTACGTGGGAAATTCTAAGAGAACTCACTGGCATGCAGAAATTAAAAACGAGCTCATTGCCTAAAACTATTAAGATTAATGAAGAAACATCATTTGATCAAATTGCAATAGCTAACAAATTAAATGAATATTTTGTATCAGTTGGTCCTAATCTGGCCCAACAAATTCCTATTTTGAAAAACAAATTGAATAATTATGCTTTTCCAATAACTTCGTTCTTAAACTCCTTTGAGTTATCCTTTGAGGAATTTGAACTTTCTTTTAAAAAGCTTAAATCTAATAAATCAGTTGGTTATGATGATATTTATTGCAATGTTATTATCGACTCGTATGGAGTCATTAAAGATATTCTATTTCAAATGTTCAATAAAACAGGGTATTTTCCCCGACAATTTAAAAATAGCCAGAGTTTCACCAATATTTAAAGGAGGGAATTCAACCAATGTTTCAAATTATCGCCCTATTTCGATTTTGCCTGTTTTTTCTAAAATTTTAGAAAGAATTTTATATAATATAATTTTCAATCATTTATCTTCAAATAATATACTGTATCAATATCAATACGGATTTAAAAAAAGTAATTCAACCGAACACGCTATACTCCAAACTACCCGCAATATTGCTGAATCTTTTGAAAAATCTCAATATACGTTAGGTGTTTTCATAGATTTATCGAAAGCCTTTGATACCATCGACCACAAAATATTTAAATATTTTAAAATCACTTAACAAAAGTTTTTTTTTGTTTTTTTTTTTGTTTATAATATATATATATATATATATATATATATATATATATATATATATATATATATATATATATATATATATATATATATATATATATATATATATATATATATATATATATGTTTAGGTTTATCTTGTTCAATAAAAAAATATTTTCTGTACCACCCATGCAATTTTTCAAAAAATTGCATTTAACTGAACACTATTTAACTGAACAAGAGGGGGCTGGAGGAGAGTTACAGTCCCTTTACTTTGTATTTTTGCATCGCCTCTAATTAAATATATTTATAAACAACTTGAAAGTATTTATAAAAAATTTAGTTTTTAAATATCTATAGAAAAATATTTCGTAACTAAACTAATGATAAAACTAAAAATGACTCAAAAAATTGTAAACACCAATTCTATGGTTTCGTTTTTAAAATTAAATAGGACTTTATAGAAGTCAATAAAAAATTATTTAGAACTCGTAGTAATATATTTAAAAAAATAGAGTATTATGGAATTAAAGGGAATATTTTAATGATTCTTAAAAGTTATTTAAGCAACCGTAAACAGTTTGTTTACAGTAATACAACTGTCTCTTCCAATTTATTAGATATAACATGTGGGGTCCCTCAAGGTTCTATACTAGGACCTCTTCTCTTTTTAATTTACATTAATGATCTCCCTAAAGCCTCAAATTTAATGACGGTCATGTTTGCCGACGATACAAATCTTTTTTTAGCTCATAACAACATAACAACATTATTCCAAAATATGAATATTGAATTAACAAAAGTTTCTGACTGGTTTAAAGTGAATAAGCTGTCACTAAATGTTGAAAAAACTAAATGATAACTTTTTCATCAAACTTCAAAAAAAAAGCTACTACCTCCTGTGATGCCCTTACTTTTTATTGACAAAGTTCAAATAAAAAGAGAACAAACTACTAACTTTTTAGGAATAAATATTGATGAAAACCTTAGTTGGAAGTATCACATTGATTTATTGTGCAACAAAGTTGCTCGAAATATAGGAGTAATGTACAAGGCTAGAAATGCTTTAAATAAACACAGTTTAACACAATTATATTTCTCTTTAATCCATTGCCATATAAATTATGCAAATATTGCCTGACGTAATACCAATAAATCTAAACTGCTACCTCTTTATCGTCAGCAGAACCATGTTGCTCGGCTTATCAATTATAAAGATCGATTTGCTCATGCCAAACCATTATTATTTCAAATGAAAATTCTTAATATTTATCAGCTAAATATTTTTAATATACTTTGTTTTATGTTCAAGTGTAAAACCAACGAATCTCCAGTTTCTTTTCATAATCTATATACCTTAAAAGATAAAAATAAATATAACTTAAGAAATGATAATCAAATTCAGCAACCTTTATCTTTAACTAATTTTGGAAAGTCATGTATTTCATATCGAGGAGCTTTTCTATTGGAACAAAATAGTTTTAAAAAATTTTGATTTTTCTAATGAATGGAATTATCTTTCATTCAAGAAAAAACTAAAAGAAATTGTTTTGTCTTTTGAAGACATTTTTTTATATTTTTAAATTCTTTTAAAAATGAATATGAAGTTTATTACATAAGGTAATATATAAATATTATATCTGATCCATAACTTATGTGTTTGTGAAAACAGTACTTTTTAAAATATTTTTGTATTTATATATAAGAGTATCAACAATTTCTTTATTCCAATTTTATTTATATATTATTACGAAATTTATGTTCTCGCTAATTTTTAATACGACATTGTTTAGATTTTATACTTCATGTTAATTTAATGTACTTAATATTCACGAGCGGTTTTCGATGATAAGACCTGAAGGTCTTCTGCGAGTCTCCGCGTTCTTTCTTTTTTGTATATATTTTCTTTTATTGTATAACGATTTTTATCTCAACTATCTTATTGTATAACTATATTGAATATTCAAGAAAAGAACAAAAAAAAAAAAAAAAAAAGTAACAAAAAAAAAAAAGTATGTAGTAATTGTTTGTTATATCAAAAAAATAAATATTGCTAGTATGCCCATATTAAAAAAAAGCCTTATACTGAACTTAATTTCAAAGAAAATTTAAAAATTTTCAAATTATTATTATTTACGGAGTTTACCAGACCCCATTCACCTGATGATTCGTAAATTATTTATTTATATAATTTATTTATCATATAGCACTATATCAGAACACTTGCAAAATTCTTTAATATGCTCTGTTTTGTAAGTTCAATTTTTAGACATAATCTTATGGCAAAAAAATTGTTTATCTTTTTCCATTTTACTAATTTGGTTCAGAGGTTTAAATAAATGGTTGACTAAGGCTTTATTTCTGCCCCCTGTATGGAAAGCCTAATCTTAGTTCTTTTTGTTCTTCCTGTTGATTACCAACAAGAAAAAAAAATTCACTTAATAAGTTAAAGATATCCTTTCTTTATATATATATATATATATATATATATATATATATATATATATATATATATATATATATATATATATATATATATATATATATATATATATATATATATATATATATATATATATATATATATATATATATATATATATATATATATATATATATATATATATATATATCATTCTATATATATATATATATATATATATATATATATATATATATATATATATATATATATATATATATATATATATATATATATATATATATCACTACTCAGTGTTGTTAATGTGGTGTGGTTATTTTTTGTATTAATCTATTTTTAGATTCTAATTCAGAAAAGATTTATATAAAATTTCTCTTTATTTGAGTAATAAGTTGACCTTTTTAATATAAACATTTTAGAGACCATTTAAACAGTATTAGGGACCTGTTGAATAGAAAATGAGCTTAAGTATAAACTAAATATTGAACAATTAAACTTAAATTAGACTTGAAACTTCAAATTGTGTATCTGGGATTATTAAATCATTTCTTTCTAACTGCTTTATTATAATCATCGTCAAAGGCCTACTTATTTATTTCCAGTAACTTCTGAGGTATCTCAAGGTTCTAATTTTGGTCCTGTTTTGTTTCTTATCTACATTACTGATCTTCTCTACAACCCTACATCTATAGTAGCTCTTTTTGCTAATGACTCAAGTTTTTACTCCTGTCTTGACAAAAGTCTACTCTTTTTGATCGCTTAAAACAGGCAGCCAATTTTGAATCTGATCTTACTTCTGTAACAGATTGGGACTCACATATTTTAGCTTATAAATTTTAATTCCAACAAAACTCAGTTATTTATTGCAAACAACTACCACAATACTGTCGACATTCCTATATTAATAAATGGTAACCCTCTTACTGAGTCCTCTTTTTTACATCTTCTGGCAATATTATTTGCAGGTGACTTTTCATGTAAACAAAGTATACAATCGATTGCTAAATTAGCATCCCTTTATCATTATCGTCATTTTCTTACCCTTGATTCCATTCTCTACCTCTACAAATATCTTTTTGTCCCTGTATGGAATGTTGTTGTCATATTTGGGCTGGTTCTTCTTATGATGCCCTTTTTTTTCTAAACAAGCTCTATCTGCTAAGCTTGAGCCTCTTTCCCATTGTCGTAAAGTTGCATCTCTTTCTTTTTTCTACAAATCCTATCACAGTGGCTGCTCAAAAGAGTTATTATCTCTAGTTCCATTAACAAAAACTCATTCTCGCTTGACTCTTTATTATGCTAAGTCTCATTCATTAGTTGTTAAATTTTATTAAATATAATTTATGTAAATAAATAATGTTTATTGTGTCAATATACAATAAAAACAATAAAGATAAAATTAATGAAGATAAAATTATCAAAGAAGTTTTTATACAGGACTGCTTCAACCGTGTTAACCTTTAACCGTGTTTATTTACCAAAACCAAAATTAATTCAGTAAATTTCAGTATTTATTGTCCTATTTAAATCAGAAATTAAAATATGAATTAAGATATTGCCATTAAAGTTAAATTTAGAAACTTAAACAATGAATTTTTGAATATTTCCCAAAAAAACCAAAAAAACAAAAACCAAAAAAACGCGTCACATCTATATTTGTTTGAGATATGATCAAATATTTCAATTAATTTTTTAATAGAATCGTTAACATCTTTATCGTCTTTTATATGGTCATTCCATTCAACATTTGAAATTTCTTGGATAAATTCAGCTTTTAAAAAATTTTTAAAACATCGCCTAACAATATGTTCAGATGAAGTTTGAGTTTTGGTATGTGGAAGTAGCATATACTGAACAAGATGATCAGATATTGAAGCGGTAAGGTTCCCTGAAATTATTTCAGAAGAATAAAAGTTTAAAAAAATATTATCAATTATTGTCTTAGAATGGGTGGTTATTCGTGTAGGCTGTATAATAAAAGGAAAAAGAAAATTTGAGACCATTGATTCTAAAAAATAAGATACCTCATTGGAGGTACTGTATTTGAGCAAGTCAAAGTTAAAATCTCCCGTTAGCATAAACTTTTTTTTGTCTAAGCTAATTTTCTCAAGAAGTGGATTTAGGTAGTAATCAACGAATTCAGTTGAACACATTGATAGATGGGGATATAAACAACCCACTATTAGACAGCTTTTTCTTAAATTTATAACTTCAATAAATATATATTCGAGTTCCTTACTTTTAAGAAACTCAGAATTCAGATTTAATTTTAAAATTTAAGTTAGACTTAATATACATTAAAACACCACCTTTTTTAGCTTTAGTTGGCGTGTGAACAGTTACATATCCTTCTAACTCAACGTTAGTTATGGAGAGATCGTTATCGTACAAGTTAGATTCAGTAATCCTAACGATATCAGGTAAACTATCAAAAGATGTTAATAATATTTTAAGGTCATCAATTTGGTAAGGTAATGAAGATATGTTTATCTGGAAATAACTTAAAGAATTTTGGGACAATTTATTATACATACGAACATCTACATATTCACAGTTACTTGAAGTGGATGATAAGTCATTGAAGTTCCCAAAAAGTTTTTTTAAATTTGTATTTTCAGGTAGATTTTTTACCCCGTTGAATTTCAGTGACTTTCCTGCAAGTATGGTAGATAACTCAAAATCCGAAATGTTATAGAATGGAAGAAATGTTTTTGTACAGATTAGGCAATACCAAGTATCTAAAGTTTTGACTTTTTCATATGTTAGTTTGTCAATTCGATTGCATTTAATGTGTATCCTATTGTCACATAAGTCGCATTGAATTGCTGAATGATTTTTAGCAACTGTCTTAAAGCATATGCCGCATGGTTGTTTTATTACCATCATTAAAAAGTAAAATAAAACAAAAAAAAAAAAAAATGCTATAAAGAAGAAGAAAAAATAAAAGGAAAAACACAATTCTAATTTGTTACACACGTGAAATTCAATGTTTTTTATATAAAAAAAATAAAATCATGTTTAGGATAGTCAAACCGTGTACGTACTTACTGTCTTTAATACCCCCTCCTCTCTTAAACACGTTCGTACACATTTAGGAAGTCCCCCTCCCCCATACGTGCGTACGTACTTTATGGATGGCCCCTTTTTAGAATACGGCGTTTTAGAAACTCCTTGGAATTTGTGACATTCAGTAATTTTTTTCTTCAAAATTGTCTTATTCAGACAATTTTTCAGATAATGACACTTAAGTAAAACTATGAAATGAACGGTCCATAATTGAACGGCCAATTACATGCAATAAAATGGTAATAGAAGCAATTCAAAACGTAATATATATATATATATATATATATATATATATATATATATATATATATATATATATATATATATATATATATATATATATATATATATATATATATATATATATATATATATATATGTATATAAAATATATATATATATATTTATCCCAGTGGGTAAAAAGACATCTTTAGACGAATAAAAGGCGTCTTTTTTATGACTTGTTATGTCTTTTTATAATCAGCCAAAATAAAGACGTGGAAATACGTCTTTTAAAAAGACGTCTTCAAAAAAGAAGTCGAAAAGACATCAATCGGTTGTTAATAAGGAAATCATTATTAGCTTAAGAAAATTAAAAATAATTATTGCCAATAGAACCTAACAAAAATGTGTTTTAACCCACAGTATCGTAATCACACTGTAAAAAACCTTGTGTTAAAAATCAGCACTTGATCTTGTGTTGCTTCCGTTAAACACAAGTTTGTGTTAAATTATAAAAATATCATTCAAAAGCGCATGCGTTACCTGCAAACAAAAATTATTTGTTATTTTCTTGCTAACACAAGACTTGTGTAGAGGAATTCTCAAGATACGCATGCGTAACACCTCATGGAATTTATACTATTTCAAAAAGATTTTTAAAAATTTTAGGACAGGTTTTTTGAATCAAGATTAATAATTTTTAGTTTGTAGTTAATTACTTAAAATTTTTTCATCACTGTTAAGTATTAACAATGGGTTATTTTTGTGTTTTTTGTGAGTCTATTTTAGTATCATTGAAGACTGTAAGTGATCTTTTAAAACATTTTCATTATCGCCATGGTATTACTTCAACACAAAATTGTAAAATTTCTTGTAGACAAGGTGGCTGTTGCAGAACATATGACACTGTCCATTCCCTAAAAATTCATTTATATAGAAAGCATCCAATTGACCCTCATTTGGAATATAACGATATAAATATTTCTCCTATGGAAAGCAATGGTGAGCTAATAGATCAGCTAGGTATTTATACAGCAGCACATATTGATAAAGATAACAGAAATACTATTTTTTCAAGTGAATTAAATGGAGAAAAGATAAAAGAAATGATTTTAGATGTTTTAATGACTCTAAGATGTCGTAACACAAGTGAAGTTATAATTCAGCATGTAGGTAAAAGTATTCAAAATATTTTATCCACAGTTATTGAAAGTGTACAAAAAACAATTCAAAATGATGAAACAGGTGCTGGCAGAGTGTGTAAAGTGTAGTTTAATTACATCTAGTTACCTGCAAAGAAAACACTTACAACAAAAAGAGATGGTTGCACCTATTGAAATAACTGTTGGGTTCAGATCTGAGATGCTTCATAAAGTTTATAAAAATAATGTAATGAGTTATCGAAATGAAACTATGCAGTATATTCCTATTCTAGAAACCATTTCTATGGTGATTTCAAAGTACTCCATTGACAAAATAGATAATAAGGTTTTAACAAAATTAAATAAATTAACTTGTTATAGTGATGCAGGACAATATAAGAATCATCCTTTATACATGAAACATCTAGATGCTCTTCAGCTTCAACTATACTGTGATGATTTTGAAACAGTAAATCCTTTAGGATCAAAAACTAAAGTTCACAAAGTTTGTGCAGTTTATTTGTCCATCAAAAATGTTAACATAAAGAAATGCTCTAAATTGACTAACATATATCCTGTAATTTATTGTTTTTCAGCTGATGTTGCAAAGTATGGATATGAAGCCATTAATAAAGGACTTGGTAGCTCTAGAGAAGGGAGTTAAATTGTATATAAATAGAAATTACATTTGCATATATGGTGCAGTAGTTATGTGGTCTGGGGACAATGTTGCATTGCGCCAAATTTTTGGATTTAGTTCAAACTTTATTGCCAACAAGAGCTGTCATTACTGCTATACAACAAAAGAACAAATGCAACACACTTTTTATGAAGAAGATCTAGACTTAAGAACTAAAGAGCGTCACATTGCAGATTGTCAAGCACTTTTTAGTGAAGCTAATAGTAATAAATTATCTGGTGTATATAAACAAAATCCATTGTCAGAGCTTCAGTATTTTTCTGTTCCTGATAACATTTGATTCAATGCATGACATACTTGAGGGTTGCTTACAGTATGAATTAAAAATAGTTCTTCATCGCTTATTACTAATTGATTGCCTGTTGACCATTGAGGAATTCAATGGTCGATTGCAAATCTTTAATTTTGACATTGATAAGAAAAATAGGCCGTTGCAAATAACACGTGAAAAACTTGTTTCTAAAGACAAAAGCTTAGGTTTAAATGCAACACAAAGTTGGTGTTTAGGAAGATTTTTTTGTTTGTTGCTTGGTGATGTTGTAGATACTGATAACCAGTACTTTCATTTAATTCATTTATTATTGGAAATATGTGGAATAACCTTTGCTCCAAAAGTGACTGTTCATTTGATAACTTATTTAACAGAGGTCATTATCATTCATCACAAGTTGTTTACAAAGATATTTTCTGGACATACTGTTATTCCAAAACAGCATTTTCTTGTCCATTATCCTTCAAAAATTTTACAACTAGGTCCTTCACCAAATTATTGGTGTATGCAATTTGAAGGAAAACATGCTCTTACAAAGGAGCAATGTCAGATTTTGCACAACTTTAAAAATGTTTGCAAAAGTATTGCATGGCGTCAGCAAATACAATTACATCTTGATTTGTCAAATTTTGCAAGTATACTCAGTGTAGAAGTAGGTCCTGGTATTGAAATTATGCCTGCTTGCTTACCTTTGCAAGTGGCTGTTTTTGGTAAAATTCCACTGTATGAAGAATGTTTTTGTGCAAGTTATGTAATCACAGATGGTGTAAAGTACATGCAAGACTTTATTGTAGTTTTAGGACTAACCAAACTTTGTCTCCCACGTTTCGGAAAGATTCTATATTTACTTGTCCGTGAAAAGGAATGCACACTTATAGTTGAAAATCTTTTTACCATACACTATGATGCTCATTTTGCTGGCTACAATGTATGTAAAACATCTAAATATACAGCTGTTAAAATAGACAATTTATTTGATTCTCAAGTACTGTTGTTGTCAACTGGCTTCAGAAAGTATTCTGATGAAAGTTTTGTTATAACAAGACATGAATATATTAGCCTGGATATAATAACATAATTTTTTAGTTTTGATATTGATTTGATTTTGTTATTAATGAAACAAAATTATGATAATGAAATATTTACCAACTTTTGTTTTTCTAAATTATGAATTTATTTTGAAATTATGTATTTAAGTTAATAATGTAAATAGGCAAATTTTGTTCAAACATGGATAATGTTTATTGATTTTCTTACTTTTAGTAAAGTTTTTTTATAATAATGGAGGAAATTAACAACTTCTTAAGTAAAGTTCTTCCAGTGGAGGATATTAATCGTCTCCTGCCTCATTTTGGTAGCTGTTTTTAAACGTTGAAACAGACCTGCCTAATGTACTACCTCTTAAGAGACGTAAATTAGAAGCAGCTTTAGCAACTTCAAATTCTAAGCCTGTTCATTCGCAAAATGTGGACCTTATTGGTATGTTAATACAATTTATTGTTAGTACACAAATTTCATTTTTTGTCATTTTTTGTTGATGCGACATGCAAATAGTAACAGTTTGTTATATGATTTACTTTATGATGCACAATAGAAACATCTGTGGTAACTCCCATTGCATGTACAAAGTCATGTGGTCCAAAAAAGATGGTGCCTAATATTTTATTATATTTTAACATTTTTTTTATTTTATTGTTGATTTTTTTTAAATATATTTTTAAATTTTATTTAGGTTATATAAATATTTTTTTAATTTTCAATTTGTATAAATATTTCTTGTCAGTTTTTAAATTATTTATTAATCAATCAGAAGGCCAATCAGAACGTAACAAAGATATCGTATACGATATCTTTGTTACGTTCTGATTTTGTTTACAAAATACTTTTATATAAATTTTATGTAAACGTTTTTGCATAGGAAATTTAATTAAAAATTAACTTTTTTCGGTAAGCGGGTTTGTTTAATAATTTATATAATAAAGTAATATATTATAAAAAATATACATAATATAAATGCATATATATATATATATATATATATATATATATATATATATATATATATATATATATATATATATATATATATATATATATATATATATATATATATATATATATATATATATATATATATATATATATATATATATATATATATATATATATATATATATATATATATATATATATATATATACATATATATATATATATATATATATATATATATATATATATATATATACTGAAATAAATATACAATTGCAGCTACTTAGCTAAAAATTGTTAATCGGAAGAAGCAAAAGTGGATGGCGTGGTGGCAGTAAGATAGTATCGATATGATCTAGTCTCAATTAAGTTAGTCGCAGGTAAGTGTTTAAAACAAGTTTCACCGTTTATTTTTAGACTAATTTTTTAATGTATTGTGCTTGAAGAACGTTGTTTATTACTTGTTAAATTAAAATATTTATTTTCAGACTAAAAATAAAACCTGTAAACAATTTCTCTCTATATTTACTTGTTCAAGTGCCAGTGAAACGAACGATAGAAAAAAAGAAGCATTCAGTAGGCTTGCAATTTTTTTACAAAAATTTTGTTTATAAAAAAGATTGGCTCTTTAACTTTTATGTTAAATATGTTATTTCCTTGTTAACTGTTTTCTGTCATTAGTAAAGCAATTATAAAAATACACATAATGGCAACAGATTTTTCTTTAGAAATGTTCGCAAAATTTTTGGTTTATATACAAAAAACCAAGTGAAAATGATACTGGAAAGGTACACTTTTTTATATCTAAACATCATTGCAGCTTTCTTGTCTTCATTTTTGTTTATGTGTATTTCATCTGTGTTGCTAATGATATCGCCAGTTTTTATGATTTTATGTTGTTAAGCAAAGCATCCTTATGTTTCAGGCTAAAATAGAGCTTTGACTAATACTTTCTTTCTAGTTTAAATGAATAACAACTCTCATGGTGTATTAGCTGAATGATCTTTTTGTTTTGATAGTCTTTAGTCAATAACTAGGGATCGCAATCCCGGGCATGAATTACGATCCCGGGATTTCGGAATTGAAGTAAATAAAATCCCGGGATTTTATATAATGTGAGTTATTTGTTAAAAAACAGAACTTAATACTGCATATATGAATATACTTTTTGATGTTATCAATTCTTTATTTAATTTCATTATGTTTTAATGACTTACATTAATTTTCTACGGCGCCTTAAATTGTTTTAATTGTGTAACAGGCAGCAGGTGTATATAAAGATCTTAAAATAATGCAGAAATATATATACGGTATATATATTTCTGCATTATTTATAAAATAATGCAGAAATATATATACGGTATATCTTAAAATAATGCAGAAATATATATACTTCTATATTACGTTTTAAGATTACAGACTTTACAGAATAACCTTCATCAAATAATTGGATATGTAAATAACATTTGAACATTTAAAGTGTATTTGACTAAAGTAATTAAACAATCAAAATTTCAAAATAAATTTGTAAACATAAATTTTCTTAAATTTGGGTACCGATGTAGCTGCTGTAGCAACAAGCTACTTTGTAAAAAATAACATAATAAGTTGTTTGTTAATATTGAGAGACAAAAATTAAAGAAAATCTTTATTTTATATTTATAAATAAATGGTAGCTAAATAATAAATGTAAAACAAAAAAACAATTCATGTTAAATGCATATTTTATTTACAAACTTTCTTTTTTTGTCTAAAAATATGCCCGGAGCAATAGTAGAGCATTTAAGGTTTGGTCATTTAGCCTACTGCTTATTTTACTTCCCAAATACCCAGCTGCAGAAAATGCCCGCTCAGGTTCGATGCTCGTCGGTGGAATAGATAACAAATATTGGTAAACTAATTCCAAATTATGCCCCCGGTTTCCACCATTTTCAAACAGATGCATTTCTTTCTTTATGATTGACATTAAATTTGAAGTTTGTGTTTCTGGTTCAATGGCTTTCATTCTTTGTGCAATTTGTTCTTGTAACTTTTCTCTTAAAGACAGGGAGGCTCGAACTTGTGATTCTTCATTTCTAACGACAGCCATTATATTTTCATCAACATCAATACTTGATTTTTTCTAAATTATCATTTTTAAAAGCAGCTAGTCTCTCAATAAGTTTTTTTATCTGCTTCCTAATAAGGGTTTTAGGAGGAACTCCAAAAATTTTGCAGACATTTGTTTCATCATTCACAGCATCATATTTTGGATTTTTAAGGTATTTTAAAACACCAGAAATTTCTTCACATCGTCTTTTTTCCATTCTTGTTTTTATAGCTTGGAACATTTTATTAGCAAAGGGAGATTGTTTTTGAGCAATCTGCTGGAATAAAAATATAAGTACTGCATCTGCAGTGCATAGATTAGCATCTCGCCTGCATAACGCATCTACTGCTAATTTGACAGGTGCAAGTACTTCTATTAATTTCCGAAAGAACCACAAAATCACTTTCGTTTAACCCTTTTGTTACCGATACCCCGCATAGCGGGTAATAAAATATGTCGTTAAAATACCAGTACCCCGCATAGCGGTGGATGAAGAGTTTTGCTTTCTGTCAACCCCGGGTTTTTTGAGCAACTTTAAAACTTAGCTTAATAGAAACTAGAATAATAATCCAATCATACAGCGAAAACCGCATGAAAAAAGCTTTGTTAGATAAGATGTTATTCAATTTTGAAAAATGACTAGTTCATCGTGTTTACGTCAAAAAAAAATCTCAAATATTGACGAAATTTTAAACTTTGTACTTGAAGAAAGTGACAAAGATAGCAATCAAAGTATTAATCTTGGTGATAGTGACTTTAGTAATGATGAGGATGATAATTTAATAGAATTTGAAGTTGAAAACAGTATGACTTCTACTAATATTCAAAGAAAAGTTCAAGTTACAAATAAAAACAATGTCGATAAATTGGAAGCTGCTGTTCCTTTTTCTAATTCTATTTTACCATCGATTAACTATACTGAAAGTGGAAGCTTTTGTGTTTCAAGCACAAGTGACAGAAAAATTGAGACTTTTGACACTCATAAAAAGAGCCCACGTACAGAGGTGGAGGTATCAGACGTGTACGTGTTCGAGGGGGTACTGGTATTCAATGTAATAATAAAATAATTTCTGTAAAAAATGATGCTGATCCTATACATGCTAACAATAGAGAACCTATTGCTGATGATGCTGCATTTAATGTCAATATACTTGATAATGTTCTCCAAGGTAGTATACATAAACATTGTAGAGTGCATCATTGTGATAGAGTGCCTAATCGTGGTAGAGTGCCTAGTTGTAATAAAGTACGTCAGAAACTTCCTCTGTCAACTTGGGAAAAAGTTAATAAAGATGTTCCTTGTAATCTAATGGATTTCCCTGAACTTTTTTAAGAGGGTTTAAATGTTAGAATGGGGAAAAACCCAACTTGTCTTGATTTTTTTGAACTCTACTTTCCAGATGAACTCATAACTTTGTTAGTTGCAGAAACCAATCGGTATGCAAGGCAGTTTTTTGCTGCTAATCCAGATAACTCTTCTTTGTGGGAGGAAACTAATGTTGCAGAAATTAAAACCTTTATTGCTGTCATTCTTTTTATGGGAGTTATTTATAAACCCAAACTTAGTATGTATTGGTCAAAAGATGCATTGTATAATACTCCAATTTTTTCAGAAGTTATTAGTCGAAATCGTTTTAATATATTATTAAAGTTTTTTCATTTTAATAACAATGAAGATGAAAACTATGATGTAACTGATGAAAACAGAGATCGCCTTCACAAAGTGCGACCAGTCATAAACATTCTGCGTAATCAATTTAAAACTGTATATAAACCAGGAAAAAATCTAAGTGTTGATGAGTCGCTTGTCTTTTATAAGGGTCGTTTACATTTCCGTCAATATATTAAAACCAAACGTGCTCGTTTTGGGATAAAGTTATATGAACTAGCAACTTCAGAAGTAATAATACTAGACTTCCTTGTATACTGTGGTAAAGGAATGTTTGCTGATGATGATATAAATGATCAGATGCCTTCATCAGCAAGAATACCATCTG